TTTGCTTTTGGGGGGACAATGCACGTAACCTCTGTCCTGCGTGTCTCTCCCTCCTTCCAGAGGTGACAAAAAGGGCAGTGGCCTGGGACCCAGTCCTGCCTCAGTCCCAACTTGAGCCACGTGACAGTGGCAAGTCTCACTTTCCTTAGCCTCAGCCATCTGCTCCACACAATGGAGGTGAGCCCGGAGAATATGGACCAGGTGATGTTATCAAGCCCCTTCCAGCTCCGGAACTGCTGCTCTCTCGATTCCTTAGCCAGTCACGCAGCCAGGAAATGTGCCAAGGGTTCAGAAAGGGGGCGTGAGCTCTCCAGGTGTGTGGAGAGCTCGTGTATGCAAGCGTGTGGAGAGCGTGTGTACGCGCTGACCTTACAAGCCCCTATGCACCTGTGTCTGTCCCATCTGAGGGTGCTCATGAGACTACCAGCCTCTGATTGGTGCCTGATACCCACAATGTCATGTGGGTCCTCATCAGTGTCCCCAGATCTTGCCTAGCAGACGTGGTGCTGCTCTGAGCCACTGCCTTCTCTCCCCCGCAGGCCTCTGGATCATTCTCTGGCTCTGTCCACACATAGCTCCCTCAGAACCCAGCAGCCCATCCACACCTGCTCCAGGAACTGGGCATCCAGGCTGCCCCTCTGCTACCCAGGTGAGGGGCTGGAAAAGGTGGGGCGGGGACCCCACGCGCGTCCCCGACGGGCCAGCTCTTACCACCTGGAGCTCGCTCTGTAACTGGTGGTTCAGGCCGGCTTTCTCTTCCATCTGTGCTTCTAAGAACACAATCTTTTCTTCTTTCATGGCTAGTGTCGTTTTTAACACTGATTCATTCCTGCTCTCCAAAATCTTGTATTTTCTGAGAAATACAGATATAAAGTATTATTTGTCTGCCTTTTCCACCCACGAGCTCCCAGTCTCCCAGCTGCCACACATCCTTCCTCCCATTAAGCTGGTTTCCTTCAGCGTCTGGCAGCTTTTGGCCCAGAACTACAGGAGCCGAAAACCATCCATTCAGAGCCCTTCCCAGGACCCCCACCATCACCACGCCTGTGACACGTTCAAACGAAGTGTCACTGGGGCAGTTTTACAGCCACNGTCTTCAGGCAGCTGTGCTGGCGGATGAGGGCCTCGTAGTCTGCCGACTGGCGCTCGTGGAGTGTGCCCAGGTGCTCGTGGTCCTGCAGCAGGGCCTCGTAGGCCGCGGTCAGCTGCTCCTTCTGCTTCTGCAGGTTCTCGTGCTCGCTGTCCTTGGCCACCTGCTGGTTCTGGAGCAGCGTGTACTGCGCGGTGAGTGAGGCACTCTGGGAGTTCAACGTGGAATTCTCCACCTGCAGGCAGGGAGAAAGGAGGAGACCCTGGCTGCCTCGCCCACATGCAGGCCCCAGGGAGCCACAGGTCCAGTGTCCCCCAAATGCAAGGGCGGGCCAAGAGCAGTTCAAGGGGAGACTCTGAAGTTACAGGGACCCTCAGGGCAGCAAAACCCAGCGGGGCTGAGGGTAGAGCTATCAGAACTTAAGGAGCTACTATGGGAAGGGGCCGATGGCATAAACAGGCGATCACAGGGTGCTCTCCACAAATGTGACCTTTTGGGGCAGGTTATGTCCTTTCTCTGGGTAAGCTGCTTGGGTACCCGCATTGACTACTTTTAAAAGCCTATATTTTAAAAAGAAGTAGACAGGAAGTCGATAACAATATAGACTACCTGAACACTACCAACCCATATATTCACCCAGCTGGTATTTACAGAACACCCATCTGACCCAACATCCAAATCTATCAGAACTGACGGGGAGAGGATCCACCCTAACTCATTCCGGGGCCAGAATTACCCTGATGTTAAAACCAGACCAAGATATTACAACAACAAAAACCCAACAAAACAAAACTATAAACCAGTCTCCTACTTCATTTTAATAGAACAAATCCCAACGTCTTTGCCAAATGGTTTCCTGTTCATTGTCCCTAACCCATAGTTACATATTTTCAAACACTTCTCAGAAACTGCATTAATAAATCACTAATTTTCCCACAATCTGTTAACCATCAGTAAACCCAACATCCTAACCTGCGTGGCCCCAGAACGCTAGCTTTGCTCTCAGCAGCCTGGGGCCGCTTCTACGCTACCTCCCCCAGGGTGAGGACAAGTTCACCTGACAAGGGCTCTGCCAGGTTCTACAACAAAGAAACCTGGGTCACAAGGTGAACGAAACCGAGCTGATCCCAGAACATCTTTTCCAAGTCATTCCTAACAATGTCTCAAGGAAGCGACTTTGGGAAAAAGACAGGACTGCAAGTAAAAGCCGGAAATGACGTTTTAGCCCCGGCAGCCATACGCTAAATCACTATCAACGGCTTATACATCACCACCACTGTCTAAGGTCCTGAGGCCAGGAACCACTGTTTACAACGAGCCTATTAAAATACAACAAAACCAGACCCCAAAGTCTCCCATGCTTTGTCATGCTCATT